CCCCAAAACCCCAAAACCCCCTTTCTTTCTAATAAATGTATTATCAAAGAAATGTATATAAATCCAGAGTAAAAAATGAAAAGAGCAAAAGAACGCCTAAACATATGTACAGAAATGATATCTTCTTATAAGTGGAGCTATTTAAAAAATTGGTTAAAAGCTAAAGTAAATTACTCGATCTGGAATAATTAGCAAGTTCTATAATAAAAATATCCAGGCATTATGATCATAACTAAAATTTCATAAGGACTACTTAGCAAGCCATAGTATGTTAGCAGCAAGCTATATGAATTATCAAGTTCTTCATATCCGTCAGAGTAAAATGTTCTAAAATAGAGCATTAAAAAGGCAAAAGCACAAATAATCAGATATGCTACTATTGAAACCTTTATTCTCGTAAAATTGCTTAATCTCAAATATGGTATCCTAATTGCCTGATACACATTTTCTTTAATCTACATTACAAAATCTTCTGTATAGCTGCCTTAGTTTGTTAAATGGCTGTCCCTTAGTTCTTCAATCTTTTTTTCGACACTTTTATTCAATATTTCATCATAGAGTACTAACACAAACTCTCTTGAAATGAAAGCTAGGAATACCATCTAAACAACAAAAATTGAAAGAAAGATGATGAAAAAGGGTATCATTTATTTCTGCTAACTTATCATGCTAAGCCACATTTCAGTGCTATATTCCTTGCACATATTTAGATTTTACCCAACCAAAGTTAGATTGAATAGGATGCTAAGACTTATGTAAAGAAACAACAAAATTAGTTATGCTGAAACTATGGTTACTTTTCCTGATACATGCTTATTTCTTTTGCCTAGATATTAATACCCAATTAGGTAGAAACTCTGTATTTCGAATATTTGAGGATAGTCGAAAATGTAGTTGAAAATGCTTGATCCATCAAGGACATTTCTTGGCAAATCATTACAAAATGAGAATTATTCATCCATTATAATGTCATAAATCACTAAAACCCCAAGTAAGATAACATTCAAGATTAAGAGTATCAATCCTAAATACTATACTTTTTATAAATTATTCATAGTTTCTTACCTTCAATTACTAAAATCGCTATACTAAGATGCACGGTGCCATGACAATACAAACAAGAATGAATATAATATGCTGGAAAGTGGATCCGTATTATATATTATTAGCTTGAATAATCATTATCATTATCTAATCTATTATTAGAATTAATCATGTATAAAAAAGTAAATTTATTTTCTATATAAAAACTTACACATATAGCCAGCAGAATCAATTGAATAGTTAATTGTAAAGAAAATGCAGATAAAGTAAAACGATGTTTTATTTCCGCAGTAATAGGCTATTTCCTCAATTGTACTACCAAATTTATTAATGATTAGCTCGAAATTACCTAAGGTTTAATATTTAGCTAACACTCTAAAGTAATGTACATGAAAAAACGGAGGTAGATGCAAAAGCAAATAATATAAATATAGCTATTCAAATTTAAACACTAAGTATTACATCCCATAGGGTCTAGCATAAAAGGAAAAGGTAAGCTAAAATAATTTGAATCAGCCGCAACACTTGTCATTATCAGAATGATCGCTATCATCGACATTTTATCTTTTTTTATGATTTGCTCTAATATGATATCAATAAGTTAGAAATGAAGTGTTACTATCTCAATATAGTATAATCTCTTGATTATTTTCATCAAATGACTCTGTTTCTCTCTAATTTCCATTTTACTACTATAATTTAATACTTGGATTAAAATCTAAGAAGTCTTAAGTTTATATTTGTTTATCAAAATATTCATACCTATTAGTTATTAGGATTATTCTCGAAGGCGAAACTCTCATTTAGATTTTCAGAGAAATGATATTATTAATTCATTAAAGAAATACTATAATAAATACAATGAATATCTATTATTTATTATAAATTTTGAGATTTTAATTATAATTTTTTAATCCCTTATAATTTTATCCATGAAACTAGTAGTGGGGTTTTGGGGTTTTGGGGAGATCGGAAGAG